CCAATAGCCACGTTTTCTGGACGGGTTGGAGACTGGATCCCTAAAGTTTGAATTAAAACACACATTCAATATCACAGTGCTGTTTTCCTTCGGGTACCGATGAAGGCGTGATGGCCTCATGGTTAGTGGGCTCGTCTCCGGATTGTGTTCTCGGGCAAGACAATGCCCCTCTCCACCCAGGTGTATAAATGGGTACCGGCGAACTTTGCTGAGGGGTAACCCTGCGATAAACTAGCATCTCATCCAGGGGGGGAGTAAAAATACTCCCAGTCGCTTCAAGCTACAGAAACCGAGATAAGCTCCCGCCTGACCTGGCTCGTTGCAGACTTTACCTTTTTTAACCCTTACTGATGAAAAGACTGTGAAGCAGTAATATTATCATCTATTAATGAAAATGAAAAACTAGACAAGAAAACTGCAGTGATAAGCATGACAATAAAACGCATTGCTGGGAAACGAAAATTCCATCTTTTTACTTGACGTTTCGTGTGTTTCAACGTGCATCTGCAAAAGTGGCCGTTGAGAAAAAAAGTAACCACTAAATTTAAACTTAAGATAAGTAACTGATTAATATTTCAGGTTCAATAAAATGACGGAAGCTGAAAATTTTGAATAGTAAAAAAAATGAAAAGTACTAAAGATAAAGCTTTTCGACGCTGACATTGTCATCTAATTTTATCACTGCTTCGATGGTTCACCAGTGAGAAAAACGTCCTTTGACCACAAACTCGGTCCAGGGATTAAACTTTCCCAATTTTTTTTCTTTTAATGAGAAATTTGCTTGTTCCTTCGGCTAAAATCTTGAGATATTATTATTATTTTATTATTTATTTTATTACTTATATTGCGCTTTTTATATAAAAATAGTTAAAAGCAACGTACACTACAGACAAAGTGTTCAAAGGTTTTTTTTTTTGTCCTTTTTTCCTTTACCTGTGTAACTCCATGCCAAGTTTTTCCAAAAGAGAATCCCTGCTCATCAAATCTGGCTCGTTCTCTTCGTTAATAGGAGAACTTTGGGTGAAGGCGATTAACACAATCACAATTACAACACCAAGAATAAAGGAGCGCTCCATTTTGAAAAGAAGAGTCGCTGCAGTAATCTTTGAACTTCGTGTGGTCGCGAGATCTAGGATAGATGTCATTATTTAACCCTGTACTCCACCTTATATACATTGAAAAATTAATATTTTGAGCTAATATAAAAAAAAAACGAAGGTAACTTTTTAAAGTAAGGTGAAGCTTTTTAAAGAAACCCCTTGACCTTATAAGGGGTTTGATAAGCCTTTTTTTTCTTTTAGAATTAGACTGTGGTTTTTGAAAACGATAAATTCGGTCGGGAACCAATCTTTTGTTTTTACCAATAATGATTACATGACCATAGTTTCCTATTTAGTGGTTTCTTAGCAACAGGGATTACCATAGCAACGATTGAAGAAGTCGTTAATTTAGTTTAGAAAAAACTCGCGTCTTAGTTCTTAAGAAAATAAAACTTGCCTACATCGACCTTCTTTAAAGATCTTTCCAATGTACGAATGAATCTTACAAAAATTTATGGACTTTCATAAGGAGGCTGGCAACAGTTTCCAGCACTTTTCCAACAGCTAAACTTTGAAGGGTCAGTAATTCCACTGTTTATCAAGAGATGATTCAATAGTTTTATCACAAAATGCCCAATTATTTATAACAAGTTGAGGTCATCCTTTTTTTATATAACAGGTTACTATAGCAACAAACCAACCTGTTAAACTCCCTTAATTTTAGCTTTAAGTGCTTATAGCTCAAAAACGGGCTTGACATCCCTATTTTTT